GTACGTGTTTTTTGTGACTGGACTCTCACTAAGTTTAATAAGAATAGCATATCAGCTCTTGTTATTCAGCAGGAATTCCTGGACCTGGAAGAGAAATATAAAGATTATGCTCACTTCTACACAGACGGTGCCAAGACTTCATCGTTTGTCGGGTGTGCCGTGCATTCAGGTCGTTTTGTAAAAGTTACACGTCTAGAGGAATTTGCGAGTATATTTACTGCTGAAATCTATGCTGTGTCTTTTGCATTGGATTATATTCTGAAGACTAAGACTAGACGGGCCGTAATATTTGTGGACTCTCAAAGTGCGATTACTGCAGTTTGCTCTCTAAAAGCCACTAAGAATATGCTTGTGGAACAGGTGCGAAGTAAACTTAATGGAGCTTTACGTAAAGGTCACAATATAAAATTCTGCTGGGTTCCGAGTCATGTGGGAATAAAGGGTAATGAGGAGGCAGACAGGCTCGCTGCATCTACAGGTAACTGCTCTCGATATCAAGCTAGTTTTCCCTATCAGGATATCGAGTCATTAATTAAGTCGTCACTTTTTCGTCTATGGCAGGCAGAGTGGGCCATGGAGTCTAATAACAAGCTCCATGTAAGCAAACCAGTCCTTGGGTCTTGGGAGAGCTCCTCACTTAAGAACCGCTTTCACGAAGTTGTATTGTGCCGGCTTCGAATCGGGCACTCCTTCCTTACACACAGATATCTTCTTTATGGGGAGGATCCACCAGTTTGTGAGCACTGTGGAGACAATCTTACTATACTTCATATTTTGTGGATCTGCCCGGAATTCGACACCGAACGTCGCGCTCATTTTCCTGAGTTTTTTAGATTTTGTATTCCATTTCATCCCGCTCTTTTGCTGGGAAAGCACCCTCTCATTCCTCTTGATCGAGTTTTATCATATATTACTAGTACTGGCCTTATACACCAGATCTAGTCCCAGTTGTTTTCAGGATCATCTTTTTGTAATGAGGTAACCATAGGAGTTTCATTAGTTAATTTAGTCTGGCGCAGTATGGCCTCCGTTGCTGTTGCGCCAAAAAACCCGCAGACAACAACAACAACTGAACCCCTTTGCCACAATTTTAACGGCAGAGTTGCATGGTCTACTTCTTGCTGTTGAACATATCGTTGAGAAGAGGCTACGTCGCTCCGTAGTATACTCAGACTCTTTAAGCTCATTGAAAGCCCTTGTTTCCCTGAATATCCCCACAAACCCGTTGGTTTCACACCTGCAGAGTAAAATAATCTGTGCGATCAAAAACAAATGTGATACTGTGTTCTGCTGGGTGCCAAGTCATGTTGGCATCCCGGGTAATGAGGAGGCAGATCAAGCTGCGCACTCTGCGGCCACACAAATTGTGCACCTTAAAGAAATTCCCCACAAGGATTATCACAAGGTGGTTAAACATTGCATACTACAGAGATGGCAACATGAGTGGGATACTGAGATAAACAATAAGTTGCATATGGTGAAACAACTCTTGAAGGAATGGGAGAGTGCTCGGCACCGTGAACGATTCTACGAGGTGATACTCTGCCGTCTAAGGATTGGCCATACACGGCTCACGCATGGGCATCTTTTGCGGGGTGAAGATGCCCCACAGTGCGAACATTGCCATTGTCCTTTGACTATACTTCATATTTTAATTGAATGCAATGCGTATGGCCTAGAACGCCGTAACCACTTTTCAGAGCTTTACAAAGAGCATACTCCCCTACATCTGATGATTTTACTTGGCGATCAACCCCTCATACCACACTCTTGTGTTTTTAACTTTCTCAAAGCAATCGGCTTTCTACACCGACTGTGATTTTACTGTTTCGAACTCATGTCCATTCCTTTTACACTTATACATAGGTCATGTCCATTGTTTTATCCTATCATCTGCTACTAAAGCTCTTTCTTCTCCTTAACCCTCTCCCGACAATAGTTTATGTACTTGGCGCAGTATAGCCTTAGATGCTTTTGCGCCACTAAAACCCAATCAATCAATCAATAAGGAGTCGAGCGTCGCCCAAACATCAGCTCAGACTGCGGCGGAGGCGGCCAATAGACGGCGGTCGGACGACGCGATACCGTCTCATCGGGATTCGGCTCCTCCTAGGGAAACGACGCCCAAAGAGAAGGAGTCGGGCGTCGCCCAAACGTCCCCTCAGACTGCGGCGGAGGCGGCCAAGAGACGACGGTCGGACGACGCGATACCGTCTCTTCGAGATTCGGCTCTTCCTAAAGAAACGACGCGCAACGAAAAAGTGTCGGACGTCGCCAAGACGCCGTATCAGACTGTTGCAGCGGAAGACGAAGGAAGCGGTTGGCTGTACGTCGTCGGTGGAGTTGCCGTCCTGGCCACAGCGGGAGTCGTGACTTACGCGACAATGACCTATTATAGAAATAAACGCGCTAAAGGCGAAAACGTGTTTCTGTAGCTGAAATAAAAAAATGACCACCGACAATCTCTTGTTCAAACCTTTGAGAGCCATTCCCATAGGGTTTGAGGCAAGGTTGGAAAGTAGAGTCGACGACTACTTTAAAGATTTTTACTACGCGCTGTACTCTAACGCTGGTGTCGAAACTACCCGTTACAAAGACTACGGCGACACGGCCAATCGCGTGTTTGATTACATTGTGGCGAACCACGCTAACGACATTCGAACGGCGTTGTACGATCCGAAGCGAGCCATAGACTTGGTCTTTTCCTACACACTCTATCTCAAGAGCATTCAGTCCAAGGTCAATTCGCTGGCCAGCGAGAAATACAAGCCCGGGTTTCTGCGCAACGTAGTCATCCCGGCCCTCAAACACTTGATCTACAGAATGTATAAGGACCCAAACAACGTCCTGGGCGAATTCATGTACACAGTCAGGACCAGGGACGTGATAAAGCAGTACCCCGAGGCGTTGGGCGTGGAATTTGCTGGCGACGACATGCTTAGTAATTTGTACGACTTGGACGTGTACGACCTAGATGCCGTGGACAAGTACTTGTACGGCATTAGCGGCGGAATGTACTACGACGTTAAAACCAATACGTTTAAAAAGTACAACTCTGTGCTCGAGCGATACCAGTCCCAGATCTGGCAGGATTCCGTTCTAAAGTTTAAGCGACTCTTCGAAGAGTGGTGCAAGAAAGTCACGCGGCACTCTTCGTGGTCTAGCCAGCATCCAGCGTTCGATCCACTGCTCCGGGCCGTTTTCGATGCCGCGGGCACGCCGCAGTGGGACGCGGCGCTCGTTCGCTGGGTCGCCGCCGAGGAAGGTCAGACTCTTCGCATTTACGCCGAGTTGAAAGCCAAGGTTGAATATGCCCAGACCTTTATCGACGAAAAGTTTTCTCCGGAACTCTTGAAAGCCGTTGGCGAAATCGCAAAGATTGACAACGTCAAGCGGTTCGTCTTTCTCTCCGCACCTACGCTGTCGCCGACCGAGTTGCAGGCCATACTAGACGCGTTCGAAAAGATTTTGAAGAACTACACGGAGCACAAACATAGGGACGCGCTCGTCTGGGCGGTGACCCATCCGGCCGCGCACAAAGTCTGCGAAGAGGAAGAGACGAGGGACTTGTTTAACAAGATTAAATCTGACGAGTATTTGCAGGACGGTAGCGCCTTCATAACGTCACTATTGGCACATTACGCCAAGTTTCGGAGCCTAGAGGATCTCCTGAGAGAATTTGCTAGGGACCTCGATGCCGTTCGCAAGGACGCCGTCTTGAGAAAGCGCTGGCTGGAGAACGACGAGGAGGACATTAAGAAGGCCTTGATCGACGTCGACTGGAAGGTGCTCTACGAAAAATTTGAGCGATTGAAACCGCACCTGAACGAGTTACGACGACTACTCCTCGCTGGCGTGGGCGATAGCGGCGACGTCGATGAAAAAATGGAAAAATTGGGACCTTACTATCCTTTAATCGCGAGGCACGGCAAATGTATGTTTGACGAGGCCGACGCCGCGTCTCTGTTTGCTCACGCCACCTCCAAAGGTTTGTACGAGTGGAAAGTGCGTCTCAAGTCAAAGTTTCCCAAAGACGATTTCGATAGACTCTATCGGCTCGTACAGGAACGCCACAGAGACTACGAAAACATGAGAAAGTTTCTCGGTGACAGCGGCCTGCTTAGTGCCCCTCCGCTCGTGAAACTGCCTTCGAGCGTACCAAACCTAAAGACTTGGAACGACGCGATCCTGGCCACCATGAACGCTGCGCCCGAACTATGGATCGAAAAGATAATTAGCCAGTCGAAGTGTAACTTGCAGACGCTGCGCAAAAATGTTTCCGAACTCAAATCCCTAATGACTACGGAGCGCGAACGTAGAGATAAGATCCGCGAGTGGGGAATGAGCGGACCCATCGATAGATACCCGCAGACGCACGAAAAGGACCCAGTCGCCTTTGGCGAGTACGAGGGTTTCGACAAGGATTTGTTGGACAAAATCAAAGCCCCATACGACATTGTAGCGACGGTGGAGTTTGATCGCATTCGAAAGGCGCACGAGAATTTCGAGCGGCACTCGGAGATTGTGAGGCGAGCTCGGTCGGCGGTCGCTACACTGATAGAGGCGAACAAGGAGTACGTGAAACACGTCGCGACGTGGGGCAAGCACCGCGCTTCCTTTTTTCCGTCCACCGAGGCGTCGCGCGAAAGCGTAAACAATCTCTTTTCGACGAGATCGGCAAATGGCGAAAACTATTGGGAGCTGCATCGAGACCTCGGGGTCGCGCAAATCACCGAGCTGTTGCACGCGGCGCGAACGGCGTACTGGAAGACCAAGCAGTTTAGTCTGGAAGCTCGAGTGAGGGTCTACCTGCGCAATCTCGTCGGCACCTTGCGCGTTTCGCAAAGCGCCGTCTCTTCCAAACTGTCTAGATTCAAGGTGTCGAGTCTGCTGAAGATGTCGATGCGGAAGACGACGACGACTGGAAAATCGAATTTATCCGCTGGACCGTGGCGAACGAGGACGCCGACGTCGCTCGCAAACTCGTCGCAAAATCTTACGACGCCATGTGGAGGCTCTTGCGCGAAAGAGTGACGGTCGAGTTTTTCGAGGTTTTTCGCGAGGCCAAATACGCGGAAAAGTGCGTGGACCGCCGATTTCTACGGCTAGAGGACACAGTTCTGGAAACTTTTAGGGAGCGTCTCTTTCTCGATTTCGCCGACGAGACGGACCTGAGACCAGAGCTAGAGGCGTGGCTGGCGTGCCACGCCGCCTACGCGCAGATGGTCGACGCGGTCCGCAAAGAGTTTCCCGACCTGACCCGAGTCGAAAATCTCAAAGTGCACGGATCGGAAGAGGTACGTAAGGCGATCGAACGTGCCGGTCGGAATTACGCCAAGTGGCTAAACACGGAAATGATCTCGCCAAAGGACACGCTGGCCACCGTGACCGAGAAAGTCGCCAAGATTAGAGAGTTGGTGGAAAACGAAAAGCGCTACAGAGAGTCTCTGCGTGACTGGGGCATGGACTCTCCGGACGGAGAGTACGTTCGTCAGTACGAGGACGGCGTTACCGGAGAAGACGATTACCTCGCCAGGATAATACGCGAAGGCGCCATCGACGTTGTGGCCACCTTTCCCTGGGACAGGATCGCAAACGCCCACGCAAAGAGAGCGGCCTACGTTCGGCGAAAGGCCGAAATATACGAGGCTCTGGGCCAAGAAACGGACTTGATGGACTGCTTTCGACACGTCGAAAGGCTAACGCGGGACCTGAAGCTTTCTCCCTGGCCGCAGCGAGGCGATAACGCGAGAGTGCTCGATTTTCTAAAGCGAATCGAATAGACGACAATGTCGCAAAAAGACCTGATTAAGCGTCATCACGCCGACCTGACTCGAAGCTTCGTTTCCGAGCTATTGAACATGTGTAGGGACGCCAAAAACTACCTGGCAATGTACAAAGTCTTTGAAAAGTACAAGATATTCGGAATAGTGAAGCAGCTCAAACTGTGGGACATTACAGATGCACCTGACGTGCCAAAGACTGTATTTGACACGGAGACCGTCTCGTATCCAAAGTGGCTGGAGGGAGTCTTCGACTCTCGGGTAGACTGGGAAAAGGCGAGTCGGTCTCTCGTCGCGGCGTACGAAGATCGCAAAAAGACGCTAGACATTTCGTCGGCTCTGGACGCCGAACGTTTGATCACGGAACCTCGCGCCGAGGCGTACGAGGCGGCTGCCAATTCCGACTTTGTCGCCGTCAGGCGAGCGTACAGGGAGGGCTTGCACCGCACCTTGCCTGCCGCGACGTGGGAATCTTGTCGGAAAGAAATTGTTCGTCTGAAGGACAAGGTACAACCCAAGCGCGCGTCTCTGGCTCGGGAATACGTAGCAATCTACGAGTCCATCCTCGCGCACCGTCGCGCCGAAGACGAATCGCCCGCAAAGTTAGTGACCAGAATCTACTCGGACGAATCGCTGGGCAATTCAATGTCGGACCTAAAGGAAGACGACGCAGATGCGGTAGAGTATCGGCACTTGCACCTGGAAAGGGATTTGAAGTTGTATTCGAAATTATTGGCGGAATTGGACGCGACGAGGGAAGCGTTGCGATCCGCGAAAGCAGACACTGACATCGACACCTGTCCTAACCTAAACGCGGAGCCCGTCGTTGGCACAGTGTTTAGCGTCTTGTCGACGCTGCGTTCGGCCCGCGCCGTCAAGAGTAAGGTGGACGCATGGAACGAGTCTCTGCGAATAAAATCTTTATTGATTGAAAAGAAGCAAGCCGTTTACTCGAGACTTGTTCGTCTTCCTATCTTCTTCTTTGTCGGCACGATCCGCCGCGGCCCGGTGGCCGAACTCGGACGCTCCGTTGGCTGCATCTTCGAGGTCGGGATTCGACGATTGGTACTCAAACTGGGTCCTGCCCAGATACGTGTGCGACGAGAGCGATGGCGAGGCGTACGCGACCGAGATGCAATTTTTGAAGGATCGCAGGGCGATCATCGAGAGGGAGATTGTCGCGCCCATACGTGGAATCGGGACGCCGTTCGAGGAAAATGTGTTGCGAGCTCGGATTGCGCGGACCAAAAAGTATCTTTTCCTCACGGACGTATTGGGCCGACGCACCTCTACGGACGACCTCGACGTGCAACAGAGTACGCGCGACTTTACCGAGATGGCCCGATTCGTAGCGACAATGGTGCGAGAAACCAAGGAGGTGACTCATGCGATAGAGTCGCACCTGACGCCTTACGCGGAGAGCGCGAGAAGAACCGATCCGCTGGCCAGGGCGTACGCCGACTCGGATGACGGGACGACGGGGGTGTTGGAAGCGATAGCTTCTCCCGACGCGCTCGCGACTATGGACGCGGACGCGCTCCGGCACACGGGCGACTATGTAAAGGTTCTCTTTGAGAAGGAAGCCAGGATGCGAGTCTTTGAAAACGTGCGGGACGCCTTGTACGTGCGCGATTGGAAACCAGTCGCCCTGCAATACGGTGCCCAGAAACAAACTCTAGATTTTTTGGCTCTACGAGAGAAGGACCTGGTCGAATGGATCGACGTCTACCTAAAGAAACACGCGTCTTTGCAGAGTGGTGATAGGATCGAGTTTCTAGACTCTTTATTCGAGACGTTATGGATCGACCTATCTAGACTCGAAGGGATAGTGAAGGCGAACGAGCGCGTGATAGGGGTGGCCAAGTCCGACCGAGAAATTGCCGACGCGGTGGACGAGTTAAAGAAGAACGGCTTGACAAAATTTGACGAGGACTTAAAAGAGTACGAACGCCTGCGCAACCGGGCGCAAAACAACACGCTCGTTTCCTTCAAAGACGCGCAACAGTTGTTGGATCGGTTGAGGGAGGTCGGACGAGTCTTGCGTTTTCTAAAGAGCGAACGACAGAGGATATGCGTTCGACTTCCATCTCGCGTTATCGACTACATTTCGCGACACCCGGACTTTGAATCGGGCGAAATCCAGTCGGGAGTCGCCAACGCTCGCGAATATAAAGTGTTTCTGGCCTTTTACGATGCTTGTGTCAAAAATTCCCTCGCGTCTCTTGTCCAAAGCCTAGACTTGAACACCACTGGGGAGTTGAACGAGGCCGTGGCGTCTTACGAACGAGCCTCTAAGCACTACCGTATCTACGACGCAGAGTACGAGACGCACGTGGAGTCTAGGCGAGAGATCCTAGCCGTGGTGCCCCAAACTAGCGCGCGAGTCAGATCCCTCGAAGCGGACCAAGAGTTTTTGCGAGCCTCCAAGGACGTCCTAGGCAGAGTGGCGTCCGACGAGTTGGCCGAGTTTGGAGCGACACTAGCTAGAATCGCCGACAGGATACGCGAAGGGGCCGCTCTCTTTGAAAAGCATCGGGCCGTGTTGTCTGCGGCGTTTGCGGTCGGGAGAGATTTTCCCAACCACCTGACCAACTACTACTACCAGCGCGACTGTATGCCATTCGCCAAGACGTTGAACGCGGTTAGCGCGCAGGCCGGCCTCTACGACGAATTCGAGGCAATGCGCGACGGCAGAACGGTGTCGAAGGAGTCTCTAGCCGAAGTGTACGTGCCTCACGCCGAGACCCTGGTGTGTTCGTTGGCGGCTTACGAGGCACACGTTCGTAAGGTATTTACGGACGATGCCATCGATCACATGCGCAGAGCCAAGGAGCGAATATCGCCCGTGCCTCTGGACGCGACCATCGACAACGAGAACCTCAGGGCCGCAATCGTGCGTACCGGTGCGTTAAATAAATCGCAGTTGTCAGAACTGGAAGACAATATCAGAGAAAGCTTGAATAGGACGCGGACCGTGATCGAAGAAGTGGGCCGCCTGACTACGTTCGGAGAGCACTGGGGTTTTCTGACGGGAGTTGGTAGCGACTACACGGAAGACCGCCACGGGGTATTTGGATACGACGCGGCGTTGGAGACGACGCGCGGAACGCGGTCGCCCAAAGAGTGGCTGTCCACTCTGGCCACGGAAAGAGGTTACAACACGGCCGAGATAGTGCAACTCCTCAAAACGGTGTCGTCGGTAAAGAACTTGTACAACGAGATACTCGGCGTGTTTCCTCCGGAATTGTGTAGTCTGTATTATCGCGTCGTCAAGCAAGTGGTGCTCTCGGACGCCGATTACAGAGGCAGGGTTTTACACGCGGCCGAGGCCCTGGCAAAGATTCGAGCCAAACTGGGCGAGTCGTGCGACCCGAGTGCCTTTGCCAAAACGTTCGCAAATGTCAGAGACGCGGTCGACAGTATGAGGTTTCTTCTCGCGCACGTCGCTTGCGTTCGCACGATTGAAAAGACACAGACGGCTCTAAACGTGTTCTTTGGGCGCTTCCCCCCGCCGCCACTTCAGAGAGACGTTGAGATTCTTCGCAAGTACGCTCTGTTGGCGGCGGGCAACCACGAGCTGGCCGCCCTGGTGTGCGAAATAATGGAGAAGACCCTGAAGGACGCTCGGTCCAACGTTCCGCTCTTGAATTACGTGGACGATCACCCCGACCTGGACGAGTACTTTCTCGTCAGGGTCGTGGAAGCGGCCAAGACATTCGCGAAGCGGTCCACCGTCTGCGAGTGGTTTTTTCGGCGGATGCGCGAGTATTATTCGAAAGAAGAGTACGACACCATGATGACCTCTCATTCTCGGGCCTTCAATTACCGAAACGATTGGATCGACGTTAAACTCATGGCCACCGTGCTGGCCGAGGGCGTGGTTTGCGAACTGAACCCTACCGTGATCGAATTTATAAACGAGTTGCGGAAGGACGAGCGTAGGTTGTTAGGGCTGTTCGAGCGATACCGTGAGGCGGTGTCCACGTTTGAAAACTACAGGCTGGATTGGGCCGGCCTGATCAGGAGAGTCAGGCGGATGCCTCGCGAACGGATCCCGGGAACAGACTGGAGCGAGCGCGTCCATCCGAGCCTCGCGGCCAAACTCGCACACGGAGACGCGGCGGTGAAACTGTTTGAGCTCGTGTGCGACGCCGAAACGGAAGAAGACGCAATGAGCTCCGTATTTAGAGAAAATTCTTCTTCAAAAGACAATTTGGATTACGGG